AACTGCTGCAACTGCTCGTTGGCAAAGTTGATGCACAGCTGCTCAAAGCTGCAACAGTTCAACAAACCCAACAGCACGAGAGGAAAAACAGACGGCTGGATTTTAGTCAACTTTACAACTTGCTCTTTGTCTAAAAACAGCTGCAATGAACCTCTAATGTCATGAGAGTTGTTGTGAACGCCAACCTGTTTTTGCTGAAGTTCTCAAAGCCAAAGATGTCCAGCAAGCCTATTGACTGTCGGACCTCTGTGGGGTCCTCAGATTGTTTGTAAACGGCAGCGTTGATTTTGTCCACGACCCAAAGGAAAAGTCTTCCATAGATAGCCTGGACAAAAAATACAGAGGACACGTCAAAATTTCCTCTTGTTCTCAACACTTCGGTTTATTTTAATATGTCAGAAACAGAACCTCCATTTCTCTTTGAGCTTAATGCTAAAATACATCATCACAACTATATGCTAATATTAGCATGTATCCTTAGCATGTTAAAGGTGCTGTGTGTAGGATTTAGTGGCATCTAGCAGTGCTGCTATAAAATGAGCTGCATTAATGTCTGATATACATTTTTACCTTAAAAAAACCTCAAAGTGTGACTGATGTTACCTTGACAAAGGCGTCCCTGCCATCCACGGCCTGGACAGAGGTCAGACCTTTGGTCACACTCTCTCTGGCTGTCATGAAGGAACGCTTAGTCAGACTCTTCTCCAGCGCTTTGGGAGCCACCTGAGGTAACAGGACACACGCAGTCAGACAAGGACATCTCAGCTCCTTTTATATGAAAAAAAGAAACTATACATACCTCCAAAAGTTGGCAGGCCATGTTGAAATGGGATGATGTGTGGATGTTGCAGGCCTCTAGGTTATTTACTATGGTGCCTGGAATTACGCAAGAAAAATATGTTCAGAAGCTCAAAAGATGCAACTGTTTTATACACACATCCAATTGCATGGTGCTCTCCTTACTCTCAAAGTCCACATTGCCCAGGTGAAGGATAGCAGCGAGCAGTTTGGAGATTTCCCAGGAGTCATTCTCTGTGAACATGAGGATCTTCAGAGCTGAACGGAAGTGGGCGTATTCCTTCACATCATCACGTCCTTCACAGCTGGTGCAGTTACCCTGGTGATAATCACATACTAAATGTGAACTCTTATTTGGTTATCTGTGATTCATACTTGTGCATTTATCTTAAAATCCATCAATAAAGACAGTGTTTTATTCAAATTTCACAACTTGTCAAATGACTTCAGTACCATGGTCAGATAGTTGTACTCAGCAGCGCTCCCAAGGGAAAGAATCTTTTTCTGCTCAGCTGTCATGCCCATCAGCATGTAGTAAAAGATGTGGTAGTTTCTTTCCTCAGGCGCCTGCACATGAAAGCACATTCTTTACCACAAGAACATTTGACTTGTACCATGTTACTACTCTCGCAAATATTCAGCCGATCAATGTTCCCACCTGACGACAAACTCTGGACTTCTCCAGCAGGTACTGCTCAACGCGAGCCCCTTCAATGGCCCCACCCTTGGTGAAGTTGATGTCGATGTACTTCCCAAAACGACTGGAGTTATCATTTCGAACCGTTTTGGCATTACCAAAGGCTGAGAAGAAAAGTATATTTTATCAAAGCAGATCAAGTAAAAAAAAGAATTGAGAAGATTGAGAAGACTTGCGTGTCTTATATAACTTGATGTTGGTGTTTTGCTTGTACCCTCCAAGATGGGGTTTGCTTCAAGAATTTGCTGCTCAATCCAGGAGTGCTGGCCACTCACTGCAGCCAAGAACTGCAGCATGAGCTTGGTGCTCTCAGTTTTCCCTGCTCCTGACTCTCCACTGATGGAGAAAACAAAGAAATAAACATGTATCGAGAAAATGCATTTTGAGTTAATAACAAAATACATATTTTGTGTCATTCTTTAAAAAAGTGATTTATGCAAATAATTGCTTATCAAAATAGTTGTAAGTTAGTAGATTAATTTTCTGTCAATTGACTTTCAGCATAATAATGTTCTCTTTGTACTATCACTTGTTACACTTATTACTTGTATATCACTGTAAACAGGGCACTCTCATTGAGTTTCCCCTGTATAAATAAAGGGTTCAATTAATGGAATCAGTCTCAGTCCCTTATACTTATACAAAAGCAGACCTGATGACACAGCACTGGTTCTTTTGGTTGCGGCGCATGTTGAAAAAACAGCTGTCGGCGATGGCAAAGACGTGCGGTGGCAGTTCACCCAGCCGTCGATCTGTGTACATGTGCACATACTCAGTGGTGTAGAGGGGCAGCAGCTGGTAAGGGTTGACTGCAACCAGAATGGAGCCTGTGTATGTCTTAAAACAGAGAGGGATGTTAACTATCACACAGTAGCACAGTTCATGATTGTGTGTGTGTACATGAGAATAAACAAGTTGTTATGGTGTAAGCACATTGTGAAGCCAGTGACCCCAATGATCCCCTGTTTGCTCATGGCTGCAATGTGTGAGATGTTCTGATTCATTAGATTAAAACATTTCATGGGAGCGTTATATTCATTAAAAGTCGTGTTAAACGCTGTGGTTTATAATATGAATATCAAATGGGAATATTTTGCCCCCAGCACTTAGCAGTAGTATTCATATAAAACAAAATGGCCTCATTCATAATTGAACAAACAATGTTGTTGAGCTTTGATGCGGTGACATAGAAACACTGGGACGTTCTTTTTCAACAGAGGCTCATTCGTCTCTATGGAGACAAACAGCACTGTGATAAACTACAGGGCAAAGTCTAGGATAGAAAGCCATTCACATCCGGGGAAGACACAGACGAGTAAGCGTTTCCACAGCAGGTTATAGACATCATAAAACTAGGTGGTTCAGAGTGAATAGAAACCTACATAGATGATGCCTTCTTTGTGTCGGACCAGGAGGTTCCTGAGGAGCCCTGCCTCATTGAGATCACCGAGCCTTATCATGTCATCCACACCCTGCACAGAGGTGGGGTGCATGGGCCGGATGGTGCCCTCCGTCTTCTTGTTGATCTTGTGCGTCTGTGTGTATGTTAGGAAAGAGCTGGCGTTATATAGAAGGCTTACACTCGTTGTCCTATGCGGGAGAGAAGCAAGCTTTTGTGGGGTTTCGTACCTTTCCTTCATCGTCGATCAGCTCTAGCTGCCCGGTGTCTGTAACCTTGACCTCTGCCCCGATTGGCACCCCATCACTGTCCACCCACACAAAATCCCCCTGGTTGAGGAAACCAGAAGTTGTAATGTGCCAGAATGCCATGACGAAACAGCAGTCCTCAAGATAACTATCTCATGAATTTTAGAATTATGTGTACATGTTACAGTGATACTCATTCTTACCTTACTCAAATGCAGCATAGCAGCAACGCGGATTAAGTCTGTCGACAAAACGACAAAAAATGACCTTAACTCAGATTCAGCTCAGTCACAGTAACTCGAATTACCAATACTTGCTACCAAACCAATATTACGATCAGTTAGGTCTACTCAGTAAACCTCAGTTGGCTTTTATAGTCAACCATGCCCCAACCTTATATTTACAGCAACATACTGTAAATCAGATGAGGATCTTGAAAGGAAAACATTTTAATGTTACAGAAGCCCTTAATGCAGTCGTATGTACACAAGCTTGTGCCTTTAAACAATAAAGTGCATAATAAAAAAATCATAGTCTTACTGCGATATCAATGACTTTCTCTTTCAAGACACTTACGTTTTGTATTGAATCACAATGGAAAAGTCATACTGAAAAAAATATATACATAATCAAGCTACCTCTTTGGAAACAGTAAGATTAAATCACAGATTTGAAGCAACTGATATGTATCTATGGTGTCGACTCTTACCTGAGAACACTTGTTTCTGTGACAGAAGCCCCTGCTGCTGCTGCTGAGGGAACTTTGCCTGAAATGTCTCTGAAGCAGGAAGCAGGGAGTTTTCCCAGCAAACACCCCTTTATGACCCGTTGACTTTGCTCCTGCGAAGGTAGAGCCACCCAGTGTCACTAACCACCAGAGTCAAGGCCTACACGTAATATCATAACAGACCATCAATTCCCATTGTTTATATCACAGTAACTGTAATTTGCTGTTAAATATCTGATGCTAATCTTTCCATTTAAGTTAGTGTAAGTCTGGCTACTGAAAGGTCATGCTGGGCTTCACAGCGGTTGAAGATTAGGCTGGTAGCCCTGCTCTACTGTCAATTACATAAATACAATACCACTTTTAAAAATATCTTTTTACAACATAAATGGAAACATCTTCTTTGTCAATTTTCTTCGGTGAAATATTGAATAATGACAAACGCCAGACAAAACTGTACTCTTTGGCAACAGAATCTGTCAGCTGGTGTCAGATATCACGCTGAAATGGGAAAGTGGACGACCCGAATACCAGTAACAGTCGTCACAGGTCAGGTACTGCCAACGCGTTGTGCCGTACTTCAAGGCAATTAGGTTGTAAACAGCAGATAGTAGAGAGGATTGACTGGGCTTACTCTGGAGACGTGAGTGTGATTACTGGATACAACAGCTCATACCATCCACGCTAGCTGGTCGACAACAGATTAGACTGAGCCATAAAGATACACGGACTTCCAGAAGTATAACCTTACAAAAGGATTAAATCTAAGAGTAGAATAATAATAATAATAATTCTGTCAAAGTAATCTATGAGAGGATAAAAACAGGGTTGTACTGTAGGTTTTTCTTTTCTAATGACAGTGAAAAATAATCATGTGACGATCAATGCGGATCCATGATACTGTAGCAATAACCCTACAGTCTAACAATCTGTCCTCAGGTGTGGTCTGTTATTCCAGTTTGCTTGCCGCCAGAACGTGGTTTCATTTTTTTTTAACAATATACAATTTCAAAAACAGATGTTAGACTGAGAAATTTAAGTGAAAAAAGTAAGACTTTTCAATTACTTTTTCATTAAAGTCAAACACACCGTAATAAACACAGCAACATACATACTTAACAGTGTTTCTGGTATTGTTTAAGTATCTTTACTATAATTACACAGACAAAAACAATGTACAATAGCTGGATTTTTCAGGCTCACTTCATCTCATAATGTCATTATCGATACACTCTGCAAAATGAAGCGGCACACAGCACAAAATGTTTCATAGAGTACAAAACTTGAAAAGAAATAGGTCAATGGAAAACCAAAAGCACATTTACAGTGATTTACATGAATTCAGTCCACCAGTATAATCACACAAGGATACTCGCGCTCTGTCTTTCAAGCACTCTACTTTCTGAAACCAAATGAAAATATCGTTTTTACCACCATGACGCCCACTTACTTTGGATTAAGTAGATGATTCATAGCAGTTTAAATTGTAAAGTTAACTTGGCATTATGCATATGCAGTATGTCCTCACTTTCAGATAACCATCTAAGGACAGTATTTATCCTTTAAGAGCATTGTTTGTACATTAAATCAATTCACCACATTTAGGTTCTCTCCTAGTGTTTTTTGTTTTTAAATCTCAAACCACATAAGTATTCCATCATCTTTTAGATTACACCTGAAGTTGTGGCTGATAATAGGCAACTGTACCCATACTAGCTGAACTATAAAAAAAACAGGTGCAGGATGTTTGGAGAAAAAGGGGAAAGCAGTGAAAGTGACACTTTACTCTGAATTATATTTTAAGAATATTTCGACAGCATGTGAAACAGCGTTCACATGTCCCTGTCCATTTATGTACAGACAAAATAAAGGCACAGATTAATGAGAAGAGCACGATTGAGATTAGTCTGCACACAGCTCACTAAAGGACTCCTTTTATATGATTCTGATTTAATTCAATAACTCTCTGGTGGTTCACTTTCATCACTTTACATGGATTTACTGCACCTGCATTTAGTGCCAAATATCAAAGATACACAATGTGCCAATTCCAACACTGTCTTAAAAGAAGAGGCAAAAGTTAAGTTAGTAAAAATGGTCTCTTCAAAAATGAACAAAAAAAAACAAAAGGGGGGGCAGGAAGGGGCCAGTGACAGGGCCATCCAGTTAGCCACTCTAATGCAACCTACAATGCTCCACGCTCAGTATGTGCGTTGGGTCTTGAATGAGAACCTATTCCTGAAAGGCTGTTCTGCTTCTTGAAGCCGTCCTGTCACTTCTCTCTGTCCGCTCTCAGGCAGAAAGGGAGAGGGTGCGTGCGATTGTATGCAGCAAATCATAGCACCAAATTCTGAGCAGCTCCTTCACCCCTGCGGAGAGGAGAGGGGTGACTGTCGACAGAGGAGAAGGCACCCCCCGCTTATGCCCGCTCTTTGCGCTTCAGTTTGGAGGACTTCTTGACGGCGCCGTTCTTGTTGAGCAGCTTCAGCACTTTTTCCTTGTGGTCGAGCACTTTCATCATGGTGTCTCTGGCCTCGGTCACCTGGTCCATCACCAGCTTACAGCGTTGCATGTTACCCTGAGGACAAACGCATTCATTACTTGAGCTGATAAAAGCAAACTAAGGACAAAGATTTGGGGAGACAGGGCACCTTTGGCAATGTAATAGCAGGCACCTTATGAAAGCCACAAAAATTACTTAAATTACAGTAAAACTTGCAACAAAACGTATCAACTTTATTTGCCCGTTGTAAAATAACACCAAGATCAGGCTCCTCTACAGTCTGGTAATTGGTTTTGTAGTTTTGGCGTAGTGAAAGGTATCCTCAGCTAAGATTATGCATCTCTTTACTCTCATTTTCTGAAGGGGTCACACAGGGAGTATTTATGACTGCTTCCTCATTTGTTTACACTGTAAACATATATTTTATATAATATTTTTCATTTGGTGCTGGCTGATGCTATATTTGCTTTCCTATTGTTAGTTTTATGTCATTTCGAAGTGGCCTATCTACAGTTAGTCTGTTGTATTGAAGGGCTAGAATTTTTGTTATGCTCAACTTGTTAAGCAATGAAACAATACCAGCTTCCTGTTAAAGAACATATTGTCTCTCGTAAGTCTTTCCACCAAATAATAGGAAAAATATCTACTAAAGACTCGGATCGATAAGGAGTATCGATAAAGGTACTGATATCAATGAATAGTATGTAACGATTCGCGCGCCCATTCGCCTAGTCAGCAGTCCAGCCTCCCCTTTGTGGTTTTGATCTGGGCCATCCTATATCCCTCTGTAGTATCAGTGGTGGCTGGTTGGGGCATGCAGAAGTGTGTTGTAACACTTAAAAAAAGTAGACGTATAGGTCCCTTCAATTAATGGTGTATGGAAGTCGACGACTCCTGGCAACAGATGACCTTGCAAATAACTGAGCAGGGAAATGCATATTTTAAGGTCTCGGCCTCCAGTAACAACCTTACCTGTATAAGCTCGTTGATTCGGTGAAGGTCATCATCGGCTCCTGCTCTCTTCTTAGGAATCAGGCCCTCTTGAAGGGTGGAGAGGCGGCTGTACACATCATGCTCCAAACTTGACTACAGATCAAGTAAAAAAAACACACTGTGTTTACAGAAGTCCAATTAGAAGACAAAAGACATCAGTGAATATGAATGGACAGAGTACAGTGTTCACTCAGTTACAAAAGTAGCTGAATGTCACCATTTTTTTGGGTCTGTAAATGTGGTCATGTTGTCACATTTCAATTCTAACGTATTTTGGCAGGTCTGTGGCCAGCACTCACCAACTGCCTGAGCTGTGCAGCACACAGGTGAATTTTCCATCCTTGTGCTCTGCATGCCACTCCTCTCTGGTTGGCCATATCCTGTAAGCTGCCCTTCTTCTCTTCTGAAAGCAGCAAAG